TCTTTAACTGTGTGTGTGCGTCGGTGTTTGCGGATGTGTGCCCATGCACATGTATGTGTATAGGCCAGATGTTCGGGCTGAGTGTCTTCCTCAGTCATTGTTTACCTCGTTTTTCTGAGGTGATGCAGGGAGCCTGGCTGGCCAGTGAGCACCAGGGACCCTCCTGTCTCAGTGCCGGGGTTATGGGGTGCACACAGGTGTGCCTTACTTTTCATGTGGCTTCTGGGACTCTGAACCCAGATGCTTGTGTAGCAATCCCCTTCCTGACCAAGCCATCTCCCCGGTTCTAAAATGTGCTTGCCTTTATGCAAACTGTCTCAGTTTCTTTTTTTAAATTTAAATCATGACCATGTATTTTTGTACCGTGAAGGATTACCTCAGCAAGTGTGAGCTGTCCAAATGCCACATATTTCAAAGTGAGGCTCAGTCTTCAGTCAGCCTTGAATCATATGAGATGGTCAGTGTCTCGGGGCATCAGTCGGGTATTCGGAAGAGCTGGGGAGACTCAACGGTGTATGTGCGGATGTGGCTGACCCTACTAAGAACTCCCATCACCATGGGTCGGGTGAGCCTCCTTGCTGGGCATCCGCCCCATGTGTGGTCATTGGCACTGTTGGAAGAACCAGGCCCCATCTGTGCAGCTTTGTAAAGAGAAGTGGGCGCTGGTGTGTGGTGTCCTCTGGCTTTGTCCTAGAAGTCTTTTACTTTTGTTACTTTTGATCAGTATTATTTTCTGGTTCTGATTTTTTTTTTAGTTCTGTGCAACAAATCTTAGTGCTTGAAGGTGTCCCTGATGATGTCTAATGCCAATTAAAAACAATTCTCTGAGGGCTGAGGGGATAGCTCAGCCGATGAAGGGCTTGTCTTGTAAGTGCAAGGACCCAACTCTGATTTCCCACTCCCTGAAGTATGGGGGAAAAAACTGGTTGTGAGGCAGTGTTTTTTTCTTTTTGAGACAGGATTTCTCTGTGTAGCCCTGGCTGTCCTAGAGCTTGCTCTGTAGATCAGTCTGGCCTCAAACTCAGAGATTTGACTGCTTCTGCCTCCTGAGTGCTGGAAGTAAAGGCGTGCACCACCACACTGGATCTTTTAATCCCAGTGGTAAGGAGGTAGAGACATGGGGATCCTTGTGGCTCACTGGCTAGCTGGTCTACCCTAGTAGGCAGATTTCAGGCCAAGGAAAGACCTTGTCTCAAAAATAAAAACAAAATACAACAAACCAAGGAACAACACCTAAGGACGTCCACTGGCCGCCACGCATATGTGTATGTGCACCGGCACACACAGATGCTATGTGAGGTCTATAGAACTGTCCCTGTCACCACCTCTCATTGACCGTCTTAATTTGTTCTCTTTCCTCATGGGTGTGTGTAAGTGTGTAAGCAGGGTGAGAGCTCTTCCGACACTGACCTTGGCTTCAATTGGCTTTATGCATTTTTTGTTCCTGCCCTCTTCTTCCACACAAGCGTTGCTCAAGCCAGGGCTGGGCACCGAGGTTAATGAGCACTGATGAATTAATTAATTATCTCATTAAAAAGATAATGTAACCATCACAAAGTGGCTGCCCTTGGGCTGCCCTCACATCACACGCCCTTGGGGGGGGTGCCTTGAAGTGGCTTTGCTCCTCTCCGTTCACACCACTGCGCACGTCATCCATTCCATTCAAACTGTCCCCCAACCGTCAGCAGATCTTTCCCAAGTGACAGAAGCTGGCCTAGTTCCTAGAGAACATTAGACGTCCTTGTCCCCCAGAAAGATTCCATTCTGGAGGGGACAGGAAATAGATACAGGGATTAAGTATGACTCAGTCGCTGGTAATTTATAAAATGGAGGAGAAGAGCAATTTGTGGGGGGTGGGGTGTATGTAGAAAAACCCAGGCTGTGCTTGACATTCTGTTTAGAGACAGGACAGTACTAAGAGATGGAGCTGGTAGCCCTCACAGGAGATACCAAGAGCAGTATCCAGCAGTTTCCTCTCGTTAGAAGCACCCCCTCTAGGAACAAGGTGGGGGCAGCACTCAAGATACTCAGGGTGGGGGAGGTATACAAACTTCAAAAACATGCCGGATTCACTAGGGTTCCTCTCCAAGGTTGTAGAATCAACCAATGCCTGCTCTTTCTGCTGAGGTGCTAAGGGGAGACTCTGACTTGTGCATCTGCCTGCAAGTCCAGTGGGGAACTCAGGGGGTGAAGCTTTTATGAGCCATCACCCATGTTGGAGTTTGGATAATGCATCTGTCTTTGAACCATCTCTGCTCCTATAAGTAACCACTTACCCATGATATCATCTAAGTACGTAAAACTCACTGAGGGGCTGGAGAGATGGCTCAGTAGTTAAGAGTGTTTACTAATCATGCAGAGGACTTGGGTTCGGTTCCCAGCACCCACATGGTGCCTCCTAATTGCTTCTAACTCCAGCTCCAGGGGAATCTGCTGCCCTCTTTTGGCCTCCGCAGGTACTGCATTCACACACACACACACACACACACACACACACACACACACACACACGCACACACAAGTTGGACTTTGGTAGAATCAATGCTTTGGTCTGTTGTGGGCTGGTTCCCTAGCTTATGTGATAGGCGTGTTGTGTCCTGGCTCACCAGGAAGGGTCTCACACACAGCAAGGGCAAATGTGATAGTTGGTTCTTGCTGGAGATGTTTCAGGCTCTTCCTGGGGCAGCAGGAGGAGGAGAGAAGCCAGAGAAGTCAGGCTGGGGAAGGGACGAAAGATCTGAGCCTTGAGGAGCTTTTGGAAGGAGTGTGGCTGCTTTCGCTCTGAGTAGAATGAGAGACCCTGGCAGGTTCGGAGTAGAGCATCGTGGTTTTCTGACTTGCACAGGGACACCCTCCCTGTAGTGTCTACACTGGGAAGACCATGTGTGGAGCCGGTCCCACACAATCACGCCTGTGATGTTGTTTGGACCTCCCTTTCCTGTGGACATCATTTTATTCCCAGGAGGGATAGGAAGAACTCAGGGCTCAGGGAGACAAAGGCATTTGTGGGTGAAAACTTAAGACCGGGTCCTTCAGGTTCTTCCAACACCACCTTCTTTCTCTTATCTTTCTTCAGATTAGGGGCAGGAAAACAGCTCTCCACCAGGACCAGAACATCTCAAAAGGAGAAAAAGCACAGCGCCAGCTAAAAGGTCACCCATAAACCATCATTATTATGTTTTCCTTAGGCCCCAAGGATTTTAACCGAAAGGGCAATAAACAAATGAGGGAGGGTCTGTCCGAGCTCTGGGAGGCTTCTGGGGACACTGGTGACATTTAGAAAAATCACATCCGAGTGATGCGGTAAAGGTTGGAAAAGGCTAAGGGGTCGGGCACCCTCCTCTTTGTTGTCTAATGGCATGGAGATGAGCAGTTTGGTCCTCGCCCACTCTGTGTCTATCACAGTGTTAATAGTGCCACAGCCAGTCACGGATGTTGAGGTGGCTCCGTGCACGGGCCTTCTGTGTCCTTGTGGATGGTGGTCTGGTGTTTCCTAGAAACGAGACAGCTTTATTCCCATCCAACAGCCTCTGTGAAGAAATGCTGTTTTGGCTTTGACACTGGTTGTACTTTTCTCTGCTGAATCACTCTTGCCTCAAGCAGGCTCTCCAGTGCTCAGCCACCTAGCTTTCCTCAGGACTTAGTCTGCCACTCTGGCCCCTTTCTGTCTCTCCTACCACAGGACCTTTGCACCTGCTGTTATTTCTTGGATCTGGGCCCCCTCTTTCCTCAGATATCTGCCTGGTGGCTTTGTCTTGGCATCAATCAGGCTGACACCCTCTACACAGCCTTCCATTCTAGAGTGGCCAGAGTGTTTTTTTTTTTTTTTGTTTTGTTTTGTTTTGTTTGCCTCATGATTGTGGGAGTTGATTGAACCCAAGCCTTGTCCATACTAGTTGAGCAGTCTACCACTGGGCTATCCCCAGCCCTCTGCTTACATTTTTTAAAAGATTTATTTATTTATTATGTATACAGTGTTCTGCCTGCATGTATGCCTGCAGGCCGGAAGAGGGCGCCAGATCTCATTACGGATGGTTGTAAACCATCATGTGGTTGCTGGGAATTGAACTCAGGACCTCTGGAAGAACAGCCAGTGTTCTTAACCATTGAGCCATCTCTCCAGCCCCTCTGCTTACATTTTTATTTGAGGCAGAGTCTTACTGAGTTGCCCCAGCTGGATTTGAATTTTCTCTGTAGCTCATTTAGGCCTAACACATGCAATCCTCCTGCCTCAACCTCCCATGTTGGCATAACAAGTAGACCTACACCACCAGGGTGCGCTTCCTGTCACTTTTTGACTCCTTCCATAACATGCACACCTATCTGAAGACCTCCCATGTGCTCCTTTGATGTTGGCTTATTGTCTCTCCCTCCCAGCATGAGATCAGCTGCAAGGGAGGATGAAGCTTGTAGGTCTTGAAGCCACTCAGGTGATGGGAGTTCTCCTGCATCCTCAGACGGAGTCAGCTAGGTGGGTGAATGGGACTGTGTGCGGTCAGGACACCGGTGGGCACCCACTCACCCTTGCTGCTGCATAGCTAACACTGCTGTACATGAGCAGGGGTTCCAGTGTATCACCTCCAAATATCTCAGCACTAAGTCCCCTGGTGTGAAGAGGTCTGGTTGTTTGTGAAACACGTCAATTGGATGAGAGTTGGTGACCTACACTTTAGACTTTCTACGGCTATCTTCAAAACGGCTTCAAAACCTCTAGCCCATTTGCAGCTTCAGCAGAAGGATGTGAGATGGACATTCCCAGGCTCTAGGCCAGACTAGATTGTCTCACGCTCTGACCTTCCAGATGGAAGCCTAAATAGGCCATTTATGCCACACCCTTGTCACCAGAAATCCATGGAGTCTGTTTAAAGGGCAAAGGATTTATTAAGGGGAAAAACTCACTGTACAGAACAGAATTGATACAGGTTCTGGAATGCTGTTCCGGCCACCTGGATCAGTCCCGCATCCAAGTCCCACGATGGAGTAAAGAAAGCGATACTTACGTGCATCCCAGGTCGTAAGGGTCAGAGAGGCCGTGCCCCGGGGGAATGTACTTCAAGGTCATAGTCAGGTGGAGCAGTTAACTGCTGCATCTTTAGGTGCTTCAAGGTCATAGACAGAACAGCTACCCACTACACACCCTCAAGGTTCAGGGACCATCTTGGAAGCCAGGGTGGAAAGACTGTAAGAGCCAGAGGTCCTCAGGGATGCCCAGAAGGGATCTGAGTCTTCTGGATGTGATGGGACATCTGTACTCATGAACACACAGCATCTGCCTGAGCACAATCAAGCCAGTCCAACATTCCAGCACGGAGTAGGAAAGGAGTCCATGAGTCCCCACCACTCCCCAAGGAGCTGTGGACAGTTGATGGCTTCTGGGCGAAGGAGTTAGCTTTCTTTAAGGGTGTGGCTCTGGTAGACCTATCACGTTCTGGAGGACCGCTCCCCACCCGGCAGTGTACAGGCAGCATTTATAAATATGAAAAATGAGGACACAAATTCAGTGCATGTTGTTGGGGTGGGAGGTGCAGATGGATCCGGGAGGAGTTGGAGGGAGAATTGAGGAGTGATTATGACAAGAATACATTGTACAAAATTCCCAAAAGAAGCAATGCAATATTTTTAAATGGGAAAGATATTTGAGTAAATTCTTCACCGAAAAAAGATGAGCATTGCATCCTCGGTCAGGAAGCAGAGAGAGAGAGAGAGAGAGAGAGAGAGAGAGAGAGAGAGAGAGAGAGAGAGAGAGAAAGGCTGGTGCTTAGCTTACTTTCTTCTTTTTGCTCAGTCTCGGACTGCAGCCCGTGGGACGGTGTTGACCACATTTACGGTGGCTCTTCCCCACCCTTAAGAGGAGAGCCAGGGAATCTACAGAGGAGACTGTCTGCCTAGACTTGTTGGACCGATGAGCTCTGGAGTCAGCCGAGAGACCTTGCTTTACTGAAGAAGGGTGGAGAGTGGTAGGGGAGGCCCAGCAGCCTTGGCCTCTACCAGCACAGACACTGCAAAACCGCTGCCCGTGTGTACCCACATCTATGCAAAGGTGCGCACACACGAGCCTGCATACAACACACATAGATGCCCCAGACGACGACAAACTGATGGCACTGAAGGTCAGTCATGATGGTGCACCCCTGTCACCCCAGCACTGAGGAGGCTGAGGCAGAAGAATCGTTAGTTTCAAATCAACTTAGGTTACAAGGGAGAGCCTGTTTTCCAAAAAGAAGAAGATGCACCTGACAGCAGCAAGGGTTACCACAGAGAGCATGACACGTGGACTGTGGGGTGCGGCTTCTGGGACTCACTGAGGGAAGTGGCTTGGCTGGTTCTTAATGGTTCACATTAAACATGAACTCTACGTGTGACTACCTGCCTCCTGTCACCCCCCACTCCCAAAAGAAAGTCATGTCATCATGAAGACTTTTCTTCATCGAAGTCCAAAATGCATGATACGTGTGTATGTGTACACATATGTCCCTGTGTGTGCATGCCAAGATGGACAATATGTGTGTGTGTAGGTGTACACATGTGTCCCTGTGTGTGCATGTGTTTGCTCAGGCGCTTGCTCATGGTGGTCAACTCTATTCCTTATTCACTTGTCGGAGAGGTTCAGCTTCCACTGGAGGAATGATCTCTGAACTCTCCCATGAAGAAAGACTTTCCATGCAAAACCCTCCAGCCTGGAACTTCCTGCCATGCGGCTGCTGATCATGTGACATCCCTGGAGATATAAGTTATTTCAAAAAATTATAATTATTATGAAATCTACTTGGTCTCAGTTTTGCTCACAAATAAGAGCTTCTGAGCCTAGGGCTAAATTCTGAATAGAAATTGATGCCCAGAGACTAGGTGTGGGGCTCAGCATTTTTCATTTTATTAGGAATAAGCTATGTAGTCCACTCCTTCACTCTAATGAACCCCTGGTACCTTGAACCTGGAGACCATGGGACCAGAATGGAATGGCTCAGCCAGGGACTGTGAGCTGGACCAAGACTGGATGTAGGATTTCCTCAGTTGGCCTTAAAATTTCCAATTCAGTTTCAGGGTGTATTCTCATTTCTTCTTTTGAAGGACAGACTTCCATCTCAATGGAAAGAAATGACATGACTGTTAGGCCACCTGGAGTGTTCTCTGTGGGAAGATCCCAGGAGGCTGGCTGCGTAGTGGTGTCTGGACTTGTTGATGGAGATCAAGGTGAGCTTTTTCCCCATTCTGGTATTTATTTTCTGAGGAGCCCATTTCTTTAGCAAGACTGGGCACAGTGGTCCTTTGTGGGTGACTACAGGGCAGTGTGGCTCAATGATTCCTATCGTTTGATCACTGAGAAAAAATTGGGGCAGGGTGCTCACTGTTTATTTTTAAAATCTTCACTGTGACATCAATCATTTTTGATTCCCATCCTAACTTATCAACTCTTCATTCATCTCCTATCACTCACTTACTGTATTTATTTTATTTTTGTTTTTCACTTATATGCATGAGTGTAAGTGCATGTGAGTGTGCGTACCTGCAGAAACCACGAGAGGGTGCCAGATTCCCTGGAGCTGGAGTTACAGGTGGTTGGGTCCCGTCTGAGGTGGGTGCTGGGAACTCTGGTCCTCCGTAAGAGCAGCAAGCACTCTTCATATGTCCCTATATTTCTTGGTATTGAAAAGCTTCAGACACCAATCTCTGGACCTCCTCTCTGTTTCTATTATTCTGTGGTGGGATGCAGTTGTTGTGAGTACTTTCTGCTTTTGTTCTGTGAGTGGTTGTGACAATAATGAGTGCTAATAATGAGTGGCCTGGCTTTCTAGGCTCTCTAAGGTCTTTCCCCAGGATTCCTTGGAGTCCAGTTAAACAATGAAAAGATGTACATGACTTAATATTTGCAGCCTGGCTAACTAAATAAAAACCGGTAATGAGCTTCCGATTTATTTAAGCACCAGGAACAAAGCCTGGAGATCAGGAGAGCGCGGCCGGTCTTTGATCTTGTTATTGAACAGATTGGAGTTTATCGACTTGCAGCAACTGGAGAAAACATAGGCCATGGGGCTTTGTGAAGTTTTCTCAACATGAAAGTGTTAGCAAAGGCAAATTATGGGATTTGGGGTTGTGTTTAGTATTGGGGGGGAGTGTTAAAATCGTTAAGGCTTTGGTCTGGATTAAATGTTATCTGGAAGTGGGGTTAATTCTGCTGTGTGATCTCAGAAGGGTTGCCTGTCTGGGAATGCAGTAGGAAGCTGGGCCAATAGATAGACAGACATCTAGTGCTCCTGATGAATGCCTCAGGAAAATCTTATGTAGCTTTCTTTGTTCTGCCCCCAGATTGGAACCAAAGCCAGACACTAAATATTTCTCACGAGGCACACAAACTTTTCACTTTCGTCACAAGGAGGATTTTGGTGACATCACTGTGTGATCGCCCCCCTCAGGCAGCATTCTCTGTTACAAAAATTCCACAAAGTAATCTCCTGCCTGACATTCTCCAGCATGGAGATAGTGGTAGGTTTGAAATGTCCTATGGGTTCAGTGTCTGAGCTAGAAGAAGCCACCAGCCTCGGAGTGTGTGTGACGACCTCACGTCTGACTGAAAGCGACAGGAAGCCTGAGCTCTGCAGGTCAAGGACGCTTCACCAAATTACCTCTCTAGAACGGGGAGAAAATAGTTTGTTGCATAAGGATGAAGTCGCCTCCCTTTTATGTGATAAGGACGGAGCCATGGCATCACAATAAACCATGGCACCCGCTGTGAAGTGTTACATTATCATGCATTTCCATTTCGTCGTGAAAAACCATCAGATCTGTTATGACCTATTATATGACAGAGAAATTCTGTTGTAGTGTAGGATTACATCATATTGTCTATCATGACCTCTGCATGACAATAAGTTTCTAGTACATTCTAAGTAGCCATTGTACCGTAACAAATTTCTCGTGTGTCATGATGCATCACATTACATCCTAATACATTGTGATTTCACCATGTTAAATCATAACTGCCATTATAATAAATTTCTACTACATCATGATAAACCATAGTAGCTATCATGATGCCCTATCTCCCTGTAATGATTTTGTCAGAACTTTCCAGAAAAAAGCTTCCTTTTGTTCATGATAAAGGCGGTCAAGAGTCTTGACACCTAGCTGTTACCGTGCCCCCCCACTTACTGAACAGAACGGCAGTCAGGTTGTGAGGGCATCTCGTCCTTTACTCTCCTGTCCCTGTGATAAAACATCATGACAAAAACAACTTCGAGGAGAAAGGGTTGGTCTTGGACTCCCAGAGTGTTCAGACCATCATGGTGTGGAAACCCTGGTGGCAGGGGCCTTCAGGCAGCTGGTTCTCAGCTCCATTTCCCCCTTTCACAAAACCCAAGACCTCGGCCCATGCAATGGAAGCTCCAGCAGTTAAGAGGACTGGCTACTCTTCTAGAGGACCCAAGTTTTATTCTTAGTACCCACATAGTAGCTCACAACTACTGCAACTCTAGTTTCTGGGGATCAGACACCCTCTTCTGGCTTCCATGGATACTGCATGCATGTGGTGCACATACATACGTGCAGGCAAATGCTCATACATATAAAATACAAATATTTTTTAAAAGAGGCCTGTGGTATAGAGATTATTAGCTGCAGAGGGCCTGATACACAGGACCTTAAAAACCTAAAATAAACATAAAATTATTAACAAAAGGACATTAAACATGGGAAGGACACTAAAAGCACCTGACAGGAACATTGCAAAAAAAAAAGGTGTAGCTTAGTAAGTGCAGTGGATACGGTCATCTACAGATGTTCATATCATAATACCTGTGAAGATTTCAATTCACATTCAAAGGCAGTGACATACACTACAGGTTTTTGTCCCCTTGGGGACGTGTGCAACTGATCCTAGAATAGAGTCTTTAGATCTGGCTGTTTTTTTGCCTTGAGTAACAGAGGGAGGACATGTGAAGAGACAGAATTCTATTTTTAGAATGCTCAGCATCCCAATTCTATTTCCATTTCACCCACAGGAAAAATCTCCTCATCTAACCTTCAGTTACTTTTCTTATGCCACACCTAAAAAAAAATCCTTTTGAACCCTTTCTAATGGACATGCTCAGCTATGATTGTACATACACTAGACTTCTGTTGGAGAATTTTAGAAATTGGATGTTCAGGATACTCTCCAGAGAAATTAAATCATATTTAGAGAGAATATTGACAACATTAAGAGATGTTTGTTTTTATATTATGTGAATGGGTGTTTCTGCCTGCATTTTTGTCTATGCACTATATGTGCTCAAAAGAAGGCCAGAGAGGGTGTGAAATGTGGGTCCTGGGGACTGAACCCAGGTCCTCTGCAAGAGCAGCCAGTACTCTTAACTATTGAGCCATCTTTCCAGCCCCCAAATGACCAGTTTTTAAAA